GTCAGTTTAGGCTGCTATAACAAACTACCACAAATTGGGTGGCTTATAAATGACAGAAATTTATTTCTCACGGTTCTGGAAGCTAGAGGTCCAAGATAAGGGTGCCAGCATAGTTGGATTCTGGTGAAAGCCTTCTTCTAGGTTGCAGACTGTCATCTTCTCATTGTCTCCTCATGGCCAAAGAGCAGAGAGAGAAGGAAAGCAGGCTCTCTTGTGTGTGTCTTTTTATAAGGGCACTAATCCCATTCACGAGGGCTCCACCCTCATGATCTAATTACCTCCCAGAGGCCCCACCTCCTAATACCATCATATTGGGGATTAGAATTTCAATATTTGAATTTCGAGGACATAAACATTCAGTTCATAACATTTTGCCTGTTGCTAATGGGGTGTTGTTGCTTCTAGGCCCTCTCAGCTGACAAAGCAAGGAAAGTCTTTCTTTGAAGCAAATGAGTATATGTATGTTTGTGTATATTTTATATTTCTTTTACTATTTCTACTTGAATTTTATGTCTGAGTGTCTGTTGGGCAGGAGTTGCTCAATATGTGGGCTTGGTTCCCCATTTTGAGCTGGAGGCCCATTGGGCACCAACTAGATATTCTCTAGTGGGTTTACATGAATTAGACAACTTAAGGCTTTCCTTTTGTTGGGAGATAATTAGCCAGGAATCTCTTGTGTTTCTCTCTAACTTGCAAGCAGAGGCTTTATCTTTTCATGGATGTTTGTATGGTGAACAACATCCTTAGAAGCTAGCGATAGTGTCTCTTTCCAGAACAAAGGACAGATTTGGTTACTGTCCAGTATAACAAGGATAATGTCTCCCTCCGAGGCAGAGTTCAGGCAGGTTTACTGGCAGCCCGTTATAAAAGATCCCGGTTCTCTAAACTCTGAGTTCCTCAGCTGTGATGCAAACCTCCTGCACAAGTAGCATCCATCTGGGCTGCTCCGCCTTGCCTCATAGCACTTGGGGGCAAGAGGAACCAAACAAACGTGAGGCTTATCCTGCTCACTGTGTTGTCAGCAACAAAGTCCTTTGTCTCATCATAAAGTCGGGAAGTCTTGTGTCTTCTGTCAACTTCCACGAAACTGTCGCAGGCTATCTTATTAGCTTGCAAGTTGCATAAACCTCAGACTCTTCATAGGTTTCGTTACCTTTGTCTTAATTTAGGTTTGGCACTAGCAGTATTCTGATATTTCTTAGCCAAATGTAAGGTCTTTTTTGAGTTGTTAATGCTAAAGAATAAATTTTTTAAAATTTAAATTTAAAAAATAAATTTAAAAAATGTTTGGAAATAAAATCATGACTCACATGTAATAAAATGAAAATTTAATTTAGCTCATGAATTATAGAGGGAACTAGCCAAATGTCTCCACTGGTTGAAAGAAGAAGTCAAAGACAAATTTATATGGAGTAAAGGAATGTTAAAATCAATTTACAAATGGACAAAAACTGGCTTTTTCCATGGGGGATGGGAGGGGTAGTGGAGTGGAGTCTATTGAACCTCCATCAGACAGAATTTATTTGCATGTCTATAGACAAGAATTGTTTACATTGCTATCAGTTATCCACATTTACAAAATTGGAAAATAATTCAAATACAAGGAAAAGCACAAACTCAATAGAATCAGATAACCTGGAGGAAAGGTGTGCTGTAAGTGATGCGTAGTTTTCCACTGGAGACACGCAGTCATCTTTTTTGCTTAATCCAGTCTTAAATTTTCCTTCCACTAATAAAATGTACTATAAGAATGTTTCCAAGGTATTGATCCAGGAGAATTAAAGGGAGGACAGAAAGAGACTTTTTAAAGTAATCCTAGACACACATACATAAACTATTAGAAGAGATTCTAACTATCTGATGTGGGAATGGGATAGACAGAGCAAAAGAGCATTTGCTTAAACTCTTGTAGGAGAAGAGGGAAGTCCTAAACATGTCATTGTTTCAGACACTTCCCTCTACTGACCACTAGGTGCTGCTAAGCAGGCATGACGACCTGTCGCAGGAGGAGGAAAAGCAGGCATGGCAGCATCTAACCCATCCAGGGTAACGTTCAGCTGATTCACACATTTGGGAAGCTCCTTGGCGGCAAGACATTTTTACCTAGTCCAGAGCCTGGCACATACTGCGTTCAATACACATTTCTTGAAATGAATTATTCACAACATAGACAGTGCTTTTACGCTGTAGGCATTGAAGAAATATGATACTTTGAAGTAAAGATTCTTTAAGACCGCTGGTCACGTTAGGACAAAGAGAAAACATTACACATTAGAAGTCACTTGATTAACTAAACAAAAGGAGATAAATTCAGCAATGAAATCAGACTTGGTAAATCTATGAACTGTTTTCCATTGCCTATAAAAATATAGACACAGCAAAATACTTGTTTAAATGCAGACGTGGCAAATCACCCTTTTATTTGTTTCTGTCTTGCTCAGGGTCATCAAATGTTGCTTCTCCCACTCCCACCCTCTAAAACTTTCTAATAATTTCTGACTAATTTTGGTGCAATGAGAAACTGATGGCAAGCCATTTATAATTTTTTGTAATCTTACCTTAGCATAAAATGAAAAGCAAAAAATAGAGGGCAATGACTGCTGGTTAGAGACGCAGCTGGAAGGAAGGGGGAGAGTGAATCAGGAGGCCCTCAGAAAACCCCAAGAACAGATCTTCTCCTGCCCTGACTTTCCTGCTTCCTCACGTGCCTTCCTGGACATCTGTCGGTTTTGCCTGCTGAGGGAACTTTCACTCTTCTACCGTTAACAGTGCCCCGATTTCACTTTGGAGGACAAGCCCCTCTCCTACTGGGCACTGTCTCGATGGGGCTGTCAGTTCATGTGCTCCCCCTTCAGATGGCTGAGAGTAAGCACTAAGCCAGCGAGGCCAATCAAAGGCCGGGTCCCTGGAAACTATTGTGGAGCCTGAAAACCACAGGAATTCTTTCAGCTTGGTGTTGCAAAGAGACCATCCATTAATTATTGCTTCCTGGAACCCCACAGCTTCCCTGGTTTCTGTCCTTCCAAAGACCTAAGTCTTCATTTTTCCAAGTCTGTGAGCCACCCCACACTCTTCTAGTAAATTCCTATTTGCATATAATAGCTAAAGTAGGTTTCTACTGACCCCAGCCAAAGACTGCTGACTGGTGTAATGGGGAAAGGGAACAAGTCAAAGATCTAGTCCTGTTACTTTTACAATCTCTGTTGAACTTATCATTGAAAAAAAATCAGCCCTAGGGTAATGGAGACACCTTGAACATGAGGAATCACTAACATTTATGGAGACTTACTATGTTCCAGACACTTTTCTAAACATTTCAAGTATTATCTTATTTAATCTTCAGAATGACCCCATTGAATAGATGTTATTATCCCCATTTTACAGATGAGAAAACTGAGCACAGAGTGATTAAATAACCTGCCGATTTTCACCTGGCCAGATTAACATTCTCAAAGTTTGTTCCATAAAACGCTAGTCTGTCAGAATTGTATTAATTTCCTAGGGCTGCTGTAACAAAGAACCACAAACTGGGTGGTTTAAAACAACAGAAACTTACTGTCTTACAGTTCTGGAGGCCAGAAGTCTCAAATCAAGGTGTTGGCAGGGCCATGCTCTCTCTGACTGCTCTGGGGGAGAAGCAAGAATCTTGCTTCATCTAGCTTCCGGTGTTTGCCGGCAATGCCTGGCATCCTTGGCTTGTAGAGGCATCACTTCTGTCTCTGCCTCTGTCATCACATGGCTATCTTCTCTCTGTGTGTCTCACTTCTCTTCTTATAAGCACCTTTATTAGTCATATTAGATTAAGGGCCCAGCTCCTCCAGTATGAGCTCATCTTAGCCAATGACATCTGCAGCTACCCTATTTCCAAATAAGGTCACATTCTAAGGTACCAGGGGCTAGGACTTTTTTCGGGGGGACACTATTCAACCCATAACAAGAATGTTAATAGAAACAGTTCAGGGGCTGGGCCAGTGGTGTAGTGGTTATGTTCGCACACTGCTTCAGCGGCCGGGGTTTTGCGGGTTCGGATCCCGGGCATGGACCCACGCACTGCTTATCGAGCCATGCTGTGGTGGCGTCCCATACAAAGTAGAGGAAGATGGGCATGGGTGTTAGCCCAGGGCCAATCTTCATCAACAAAAAGAGGAAGGTGGGCATCGGATGTTAGCTCAGGGCTAAACTTTCTCACCAAGAAAAAAAAATCAGTAAGAAAAAAAAAAAGAGAAACGGTTCGAAAAAGAATTCTGTGGTCAAATAAATTTGGGAAACACAAGATTAAGCACTATTACAATAAGATCCTCTGCTTTGGGAAAGTCTTTAATTTGTTAACCTGAAGGAAAGCCACCAAGCTGGGACTATAACGTACAATTTCTCAAACGTGTTTGAGTATGGACTTCTTACAGGACTACTGTAGGGTTAGCGTTCTGTGTGACACGAGGTTCCCAGGCCTGATGGGAGGCAGCAGTGCTCTGATGAGGTCCCTTCCGACTCTGGTTCTATCTCTTACCTGCTGTGTCACCTTCACCTTGAGTCAACTGCCTCTTCTCTGTGCGTAAGTTTCCTTATGTCTAAGATAGAGACAATAAGATACTTCCCCTGTGGGTTTCTTGTAAGGACTACAGTCAATGGGGTAGGCTGAAAAACACCTAGTATGGAATGGAATGGCATGGAAGTAGGCATTCACTGGTAATATTGGTTACCTTTGTCATGCTAACCAGACAGTTTTGCATTTCTTAGCATTTCTATTAAGCATTTCCAGGATCTCAAGAATAATTCCTAAACCAGGACAATTTCTACCAATAAGGTTTTCTTGCTCATTTTCCCCTTCTTTTCATCATTTTTTTCTTCTCTTCAATAGAATGATTTTCTTTATGGTAATAAAAATTTACATTGGGTAAATATTCAACCCCACTGTACTTTTTAATAAGTCTCCAACATCAGCAAAGAACAGGTTGTTTCTCTTTGCAGTTCCTTATTCTGATCTTCCACCCCAGTGAGGGGAAGAGGATGTGATCATGCGATCGCCAGCAGACGGGAAATTGTGAAAGTGACCTCGCTCTAGAAAAGCAGCCCACAACTGCCTTGGCTCTCAGAGGAGGCTGAGCTTCTGAGAGGACTCATTTGAGAGTGGACCCAGCCGTCTGTCCCTCGGACATGGAACCAAAGCGGATCAGGGAGGGCTACCTTGTGAAGAAGGTAAGCAGAAGTGCCACCTACAGGAGTGTCACTGGAGATAAGGTTGGGGAGGCTTGGAGTCCAGCTTTGGACCCTCTTCCCACTCATTTTAGGAATGTTTAGTTCTGAACCTACTGGGTTGAAACAGGAGAGCATTGCAGCATGTAGAATGATGGAGAGGAGGAACCAGTACTTGTTCCACCGCATTCTGGTTCTTAAAGTGAACAAACCCAGCTCAGGCGTCAGCATAGCTTGATCTTGTGGGACTGAGAATTCCAGACTGCAGGTTCTGCAAGGTGGGAGCCTAAGGGAAATCCCTCATGATTTAGAGCATCTTTTTCAAGAACCTCTCGTGAGTGTTATGCTGGAAGACTCAAACTCTTTTGGTGTAGAGGTTACTTGGAGAGACTGTTCATTTGTTATTTAAATTCCCCTCCCCCTCTTTTTTTTTTTTTTTGTTTGGAGGGGAGGAAGAAGAAAATGATTAAAGATAAGCTGATATAATGATACAGTAACTGTAGCTTATTTCATGGGCCGTCCTGTTAGAAATGATGCATTAAAAACTTTATCTTTTTTTATTGGGCTGAAATCTCTTTCTTGGCAGTTCTTTGTGAATTTATATTATATGCTCTTAGGGTGGTAGGTGGATGCACCACTTTAAAGATTAGGAAATAGGGACATATGTGTACTCAAAAATGCTTCATTTCACTGGGGTGGCGTCAGGAAACTGAATTTTGTTAACACTATTGGTTTTTCTTCTGATGGTGGGCATATGCCGTGTCACTGTGAAACTCCCAGGGTGGTGAATTCACACCAAGGCTTGCTGGTATCCTGTGGGCAACACCTCTATAACCCAGTACACTCATGCTGATCTAAGTGAGCTCAGAAAGTCAGAAATAAACTGAAATCTGTACATTTCTTCAAATGCCCAGCTTTTTAATTGAATGAGCGCCTAATGTGACTCTGTTTTAGGCCATTCATTAGTTTAACATTTTAGCCTAAAATGTTCTACTGATAAGGAGGTTAAATAGGATACTTTGCTGCCTGATTCTGTTTTGATTTAAAGCTGAAAGGGACCTTAGGTTTTCTTGCCTCATTCTCTCATTTCCAGAAGAGGAAACTGAGACCCCGAAGCTAGGTGATGGCCCAAAGTCACATGGCTGTGACAGAGTTGGGACCAGAAACTCACTCTCTGACTCCTGGGTTTCAGACTGAGCTCTGTCAAGTACACTAGGATTTTTTAGAGTGAATTTAATCTGTTAGGGTTTGTAATGTATCTGTGGTAGTGACAGTTACGAGTGGATGCCGGAGAATAAATGAGCCCTCAGCTGCAATTTTCTCTGGCTAGCCGTAGCTTGAAACATCCTTTGGGAAAGACACATATATATACACAGAGGTGGATGTAGATTCTTTGCCATAGGTGCCAATACTCTCTTTGAGAACTAGTGATAATTAATGTTGACTTATTTCTTTCCTTATTGCTTGGGCTAGTATCCTGAGAAGAGCAAATGGATGGAAACATTTTCTGCAAGGTTTTTTTTTAAGCAATTAAAACATCTTGCAATGAAAATTGCTATTATTGAGTTTGTATACTCACATTTTAAACTCTCTAAATCACACAAAAAATAGAAGACTAAATCTCTAATATGTGAGGCTGCCCTACTAGAAAATGAAGATGAAAGAGTTAGGCTTGCCAAGCATATGGACTTAAATTAATAAATAGTTTTTTATTAGAATTACAGTGAGAGTAATTCTCTCAGGTCATGGCTTGTAAAAGTCAATTTAGAAAATGTAGCTATAAAAAAACATAGCAAAATTTCATATCGATATTTCCACAATTTACATCTTCCCTAATTTTCATATCTATCATTTGCATCTTCCATAATTTTTGCATTTTTCTCCGGGAGTTTTTGAACACTCCCTGTTGTAATGTATTAAGATTCTCTAATTTGTTGTCTTTAAGAAACGCTTGGTTCAGAAACATCCCCTTTGTCAGCTGTAGAACTATACCTGAAGCCAGAATTTCCCAGTAAGGTGCTGAAGTTCTTAATTTCTTTAGACATTAAGTTTCTTTCAGTTACTTTATATATGTAGATTACAATGTCAGGAACCTAGCCCATGCTGGGTGCTACTTACGTGACCATGATTATTAGTATCAGTATTGATATACTACACTTCAATAGTAAGGGTCCTCTTCTCGATGCTAATGAGGATTTGTACTGGCTCCTGGGTTGGTTGCCAACTTAATAGTGAAGAAAGAACTATGAAACTCTTTCTCTGACAAGGCTGCAAGACACCTTGACTACAGTTATTGATGTTAAAGCATGACAGGTAATGATATATGAATCTCCTTTCATTCACCTTTTTTTCTCATGCAGTTTAAGATACCTGGGTGCTGATAAAAAATATCTTTCTACCTATGTCTTGTTATATGAAATAACTTTATTGGAGAAAAAAGTGTTTTACCTGGAAAAAATACATTAGAAAATGCTGGTGCAGAGATTTTGTCAAGTCAGAAATCTTGGGGTCAACAGTCAATGGCACTGACTATAAAATGTTTCTGCTTTTCTTCTGTGCAAGATAACTGCCCACATTTCACAATTCAGGTTTCCTCCTTTGCTTTCTGCCTAAGATCTTTAAATAGAGGTAATAGTTAAGAGAAGGAGGGAAAAAACATAATCTGTCATTTTGCAAATTTTTCATTCTAAATAAAACCCACATTTCCTTGCCTCAGAGTCTTGCCACTTTTGACTTTTTTTTTTTTTTTTTTTGTGAGGAAGATCAGCGCTGAGCTAACATCCATGCCAGTCCTCCTCTTTTTGCTGAGGAAGACTGGCCCTGGGCTAATATCTGTGCCTATCTTCCTCCACTTTATATGGGATGCCACCACAGCATGGGCTGACAAGCGGTGTGTCAGTGCACGCCCGGGATCAGAACCCAGGCTGTCAGCAGCAGAGTGCGCGCACTTAACTGTTATGCCATGGGGCCGGCCCCTTGACTTATTTTTTGAAGTACTTAGAGCCTACCATGTAGCAGCTAGTTATTGTACGAACACAATCTCATTCAATCCTAAACACCCTGTGCAGTGCTATCCTTATCCCCACCTTACAGATGAGAAAATCGAGGCTCGGAGAAAATAAATCACTTGCCCATAGTCAAACAACTCGTAAGAGGATGGGGATGACTTAGGATTCAAACCCAGGCCTGCCTAACAGCAAAGCCCATGGTGTCATCGATCCCATGAGGCACTCTGAAAGGCAGGCTCACCCTAGCCAGCAAAAGAGAGGTCAGATGAACTTACCAGAGCCAAAGTGGGCCTGGACAAATTGTACTGTGGGCAAGATTGGGTTTAGTAACTTCACTTTCTCTCTGATTAGGGGTCTACTTTCCAGCCAATAGACATATTTTGGAGGTCTTTGAAAACATACTATTAATTTGGATATGTTTATAATCATAGCTTAAAAAAAAGAGAGTGGAGCAGATTACACAATCAATAATGTAGACTCCACCAAGTTTTGTTCCAAACTCACTTTGTTCCTAGAGGTTTACGGAGCAAACTATCGTTTCTATGACTACCAATCCAGTAAGCCTTTGGAGCAGCAGGACTGACCCAAAGGGTGACTTAGGGATTTGGGTGGCTTGTGAGCCTGGTGGGAAGCACAGGAATCGGGGTGGTGGGCAAGAGAAGGACAAGGGGCACGGGCAGGAAAGAAAAGGGCTGCAGAGAGCTGTGGTAGAAGGAGGAAAGCCTGGGGCAACAGAGAGCAAGAGTCAGGGGTCTCGGGCCAGGAATCCTTTCATACAGCTACCTTGTCCTCCAGACACGATACCGTGAAATAATCCCCAGGCATCTGCACCCGTTGATTCGCCATCATAATAGCTAACACAGGTGGTGCTTACCCTGCAGCAGGGCCAGTTCTAAGCATTTAATGCCTTAATGTATTTAATACTTATAATAACCTTACAAAGTGGGTACAACTATTGTCCTCACTTTACAGATGAGGAAACTGAGGTACAGAGAGGCAGAGGGCCTTGCCTAAGGTCACACAGCTATTAAGTGGCATAGCTGTTCTGGAACCTAGTAGTGTTCTGGAACCCAGTAGTGTTCTGGAACCCAGTGTCACAAAGAGCCATGCCTAACAACGCTCCATGTGGCCCTTACAGGCTCATATTGCAGTGATTTTCTTTTCCAAAGCACTGTGGTTGTGATGGGTGGTAGCCAGGAGAAGCTTATGCCAGAATGACGTCACAGGATTGCCTACAAACTGCGTAATCTTATCTGTCTATGTGGTTACCATTTTTTAAGCACCTACTACTAGCTTTAAGTATATTATCTCATTTAAGCTTTACAACAATGGGAAGTAGGTACTATATTATCTTCATTTTATAGGTGAGGAGACTAATGTTTGGAAAAATTAAGTAACTTGCCTAAGGCCACATAGCCTGGAAGAGGCAAAGTTGAGATTTGAACCCACATCCCTAAGACTCTAGAAATCACGCTGTTAACCATTCTGTGCTATTTCTCTATTGCTCACCTGATATGTTTTTATTGAGAAATTGTCCAACCTGAAAGAGTTTATTAATGTTCAAGATATACTACTGAATAGATTAGTTTCCTTGCCTTCGAAGAATTTAAATAGGCACAAAATGACCATTTATCTAGGATGTTATACAAGTGATTCATGGATCTGGTTGGAAAACTAAATGATAGAGTTTATGATACAGCAGAAATAAGAACTTAATTTAATGCAACATCAACTTAAAATAACATGTCCCAAAGTGTGGGAGAATACATGATACTACTCACAGTTCTGCTTTAGTTAGATACATAATTTTGGCCATAATGTCATTTTCCTTTGTATCCCAGCTATATGTCAACATAGGAAAAGAGAAGTGTGAGGGAAAGGAGAAGTTAAAGGAGGTGTCTTCAGTCTGTGGGAAGTGTGTGGGAGGGGTTCTAAACACCAAAACCAAATTGCCCCACCCCTCAGCAATGAGTTGTGACTTTCTTCTGTGAAGCTGCACGTACACAGGAAGGCATGCCCCAGTTGGTGCCTTTGTCACACTAACTGAGCTGTCCATCAAGGTCACACTCTCCCCTGTTAGACTGTGAACTGTTTGAAAGCAGAGACCACGTCTTGTTCCTGACACCAAAGGAGCTGCTCTATCATTATTTGTTGAACAAACATATCTCAAAGAAAGAAACTTGCCTAAAATAGACTCACCAAAACCAAGGAATCAGGGGTCCATATTACAGTAATTTTAATGTATTAAAAAAATTTCCAATGGGGTATTCATTTTTAGATGATCATGTTAAATAAGTTGTAAGATTTATTTCTTTTCGGCTTACAGGTGAGACCCAAGGGTTGGCAGGGGCATCTGGAAATAGAAGGCTAAAGGGATGGTAGGGACCATAGGCTTTTTTGAAAGAGATGTGTAGAATCTCAGTGTTGAAAGTAATGTTTAGTATTTAAATAAGTATTTAATTGAACTTCCCATCTGGGGCCTGTATTTCTTTTACTAATCTGTTAACACGCATGTTTGAATACCTGTTGTGTCAGGGAACTCACTAATTTAACTTTCTCCCTTAAGTTATGCAGCAAACTAGTTTTTCTGGAACCTCCACCTATTGGGACTTCAAAACAATTCATGACAATGTTCCACACCTTTGAAAACAGTCTTCATCTGCTCTGCCTGTCCCCTTTTGGGCTACCACCTCGCCAGTTCCTTCTACAATTCCCCAGCAGAGGTGCCGTCTTGTCACTCTCTTTTGAACAGGCTCTACTTTATCTGCAGCTTTGAGGTTTGCTGAACTCAAGGTCATTCTCCAGGTGTACCTGATTACAGGGAATAGGTGATATTTATGGGGCACTTACCATGTTCTAGATATTGCGCTAAGCAATTTACATGCCTTATTTCATTTAATTTTCCAATAATCCTAAGAAATAGCAGCATTATCTCCATTTGCCAGATGTAGAAAATAAGGTTTAAAAACTTGCTCAAGGTCACATTGCTAGAAGGTGGCAGAGCTGGGATTTGAGCCTAGGCCATACAGCTCCAGATCCCGTGGTCACCTACTGGTTGTGCTCCACTTAAAGTTAGAACGTTATTTTCCTCACTTTAGATTCTATGTTCCTATTTATATAGACTACAAGGACTTTAGGCTTTTTGACAGCCCACATTGAACTGCTGACTCATAGAGCTCCTTTTTCTCATATGCTCGTTTCCCCAAATCTTCACCAATACATTTTCTAAATCTTATTTTTTTAAAATTTTATTTATTTATTTATTTATTCCCCAAAGCCCCAGTAGATAGTTGTATGTCATAGTTGCACCTCCTTCTAGTTGCTGTATGTGGGACGCGGCCTCAGCATGGCTGGAGAAGTGGTGCGTCGGTGCGCGCCCAGGATCCGAACCCCGGGCCGCCAACAGCAGAGTGTGCACACTTAACTGCTAAGCCACAGGGCTGGCCCACATTTTCTAAATCTTAAAAAAAAAACTTAATAAAGAAAAAGATTATATCTTATTTAGTTTTAATTTGTATTTCTTTGAATGCTGTTGAAGCAGTACGTTTTTATGTTTATTGGACCCAGGCATTCCTTCTTTTGAGAATTATCTGTGTATCATTTGCCCATTTAAAAAAATTGAGAGTGTTTGTGTATTTCTTATTGATTCTAAAGAGTTTTAAATAATATATTAAGGATATTAACCTTTAATTTTATGGTAAGATATTATAAATATCTATGTATTGTTATTTGCTTTTCAGTTGTTGCAGTTTTTGGGTTTTTTTACTGTACGGAAGTTCAATTTTTTTATACAATCAAATGTCTTGTCCTTTAAGATTTCTTTTTCTGGTGTCATACAATGTCAGACTCCTATGCACTAAACTATACCAGTCCCATGATGATGAGCAATTATGCACTGGGAAACTTTAAATCTGACCCAGCATCTAAAACCAGCCCATTGTAACATGTAGTTGTATAGGTTTTGGCCTATAATGGGAAAGAATAGACATATTCTATATATATATGTGTATAAAATCATAAAACATATCTATTATATATGTACAAAATTATATTATGATGTGATTTATGATTTAGATATATTTCATGATTTTATATATATATGAGGTTATGTATATAACTAGCTAAGTGGCCTAAAAAAGTCAATTTAGATTCCAGAATTACTCAAAGTTATGTAAGAACCAAAATGAAGATGGCATGTGAAGGGAAGTGGAAAGAGCATAAAATTAGAAATCAGGAGACCTGGATTGTAGTCCCAGTTCCACGTTAACTGGTCAGATGTACTAGGCCCAGTCCCTTAACTGGGCCTTCTTGCCTGTATGATGAGGGTGTTAGTAGATGATCCTAAATGCCTTTCTAGCATGGACATTCCATGATCACACTTCCAGACTTGCTCTTGGGTGAGCACCAAGAGAGTTGGGGACAGAAGGGGGTAAATATAGGGGTAGCCAAGGGGAGGTGCTGTCAGGATACTGGAGTGAGAAGCTGGCGGCTGCAGTGGTGGCTGAAAGGAAAGAGATCACCCGTAATTCCATCATCCTAACCTAACTAACCACTACCTGGAGGAAAGTTTCTTCCTTTATAAGCGGTCCTAGTTCTCGTGTTTTGCGGAGCGGAGCGTCAGCCTCCTTCGAGTGCATAATGACCCTTAATCCCAGATGACACACCCTCCTCTAACTGAGTTGACAGACCCCCGAGGCTACGTTGGAATTAGGAAAGTACAAACTCACTTTGAACAGTTGGCTCCAGAGGAGCTTTATTTAACGATCAGCAGAAGGACTGCAGTGCTGGCTGACCTCTCCCGATTATCCCAATTCCCAGGTCAAAAGCCCCGAGTGGCTGTGGCAATTATTAATCTTCGATAGACCTGAGGTAGAATATGAAATTTTAGACTTGAAAGGCATTTTAGCAGTAATCTAGTCCAACTTCTTACTCCTAGCCCTATGAATATATCTTTTATTATTTTCAGTTATTTTAATTTTTTGTTAAATAGCCTTGTCTATATATTTCCCTAAAAGTGTATTCCAAATTTTAATATATAGTAGTGTCACATGTTGTTCATGTATTTATTATTTTTTCCCAATTATTTTGAAAAACTTCAAACCCACAGAGAAATGGGAAAAATAGTATGACCACCTGTCTACTCTACCTAGATTTATCAATTAATACATGACCGCATGTGCTTTCTCTCTCCCTATCTCTATATTTCTATATACATATACACACATATTTTTATGCTGAGATATTTGAGAATAAGTTGCTGACGTTATACTACCTTACTCCTAAATACTTCAACACATATCTTCTAAGAATTAGACATTCTCCACAGTTTTCCAAGTTGGATGTACCATTTTGCATCCCGCCAGGATGTATGGGAGTTCCAGTTACCATCCGTGCCACGTCTTGCTTTTCTCAATATTTTTAAATTTTAGATACTCTAATGGGTGTGCAGAGGTATCTCATTGTGGTTTTAATCTGCATTTCCCTGATGAAAATGAGGTTGAACACCTTCTCAGAGGTTTTTTGGATATTCTTATTAATGAAATGCCTCTTCCAATCTTTTGCTCATTTTAAAATTAGATTATACTTTTCTTATTGATTTGCAGGAGCTCTTTATATTCTAGATATGAGTTTCTCTCAGATAGATGTAAAACAGAGAGGCATTTGATTGAAATTATTGTGTGTGTTGGTATAGTGTCTGACCTTGCCCATTTTTTAAAAAGGGGAAATAATCTAATATTAGCATGGATAGTTATTCTGCCTGTGCAGAAAAGAGGTAGTGTGTTTTAATAAAACATTTTTTGAGTAACTAAAACAAAGGAAACAGTTGGACAAACAAGACGCTAGCCCCACAAGTATTTATCGTCTTTACATAAATAGTCTTCCTTTTCAGCAAATGGACCTTTATATAGAGGCTCTTTGTATTTTCAGATAAGCAGCAGGATCTGCTGGGAAATGGATGATAATTCTATTTTGTGGTAGTCATGATAGGGTGACCTCATGGGTCCAAAGATGAGAAGCATGGAACCCTATTCTCTTCCTTTTCCAGAGCCATCCCAAAATATAGAGAAGAAAGAGAGACTTTCTTGATCTAGTCAGAATGGTTAATTTATTGCTGCAGGGGCAGTTGGCATTAACCCAAAATGAAAACTAGTTAAGTAAGGATTTTCCTGAAGGCCACATTGACATGGAGAGTATCACTCTGGCATTATAGACCATTTTGCAGGTGATTTTCACACAGCTTAGCCATGCCCATGCACAAGCCTGCTCTCTGAGTTTCTTCTTGACATTTATATTCTGATAAAATCTGATTGGAAGTAGCTGCAGCTAGCGTGCCACTATTTACGGCCTCCATGCCCATAGTTGACGCAACTATTGGATCATGACACTTTTCCAGTGGGTCTAGCCTCAGGCATCAGTTACTATTCACTCTGAGCTGGCACTTGAGATAGAGTCTCTTTGCCATCCCTAAGTTGAACTGAACACAATGGGCAGGGTTTGGAACAGAAAATAAGCCATTGAAAATCAACCCAATATGCACAAGAAGGAAAGTAGAGATCCATACCATACTCCCTTGGTAATGGCCTGTGAGAGGCTTATGGGCTGATTATAGATCTGTATACATTTTATCTTAAATTTTTTTTTTAAAGTTCCAGCAGAATGGCAGTCCTCTTCTCCCCTGAAATCTGCTTTCCTAGCAGCCTGGTCACACAAATGTGGGTCATCTGTGCCCACGCTGGCCAAAGCTAGGCTATTTACCAAATCCTGCACCAGCCGTAGAATAATTTCAGAAAACTTTGTTACACAGGTCTTTTTGTTGTCATTACAGGGGAGCATGTTCAACACCTGGAAACCCATGTGGGTTGTATTGTTAGAAGATGGAATTGAATTCTATAAAAAGAAAAGTGACAACAGCCCCAAAGGAATGATTCCTCTGAAAGGAAGCACACTAACTAGCCCTTGTCAGGATTTTGGCAAAAGGATGGTGAGTTGACGTCACTAGTGAGATGAATGCTGTGTCAGGCACTGACCTTTGAGCCTGTGCACAGCCTACAATGTGAATGGTGCTCCCCGGGCCAGTCCCTCGCACCACAACCCACACTCCACCCCGGGCATTTTGGTCTCTCTTGGCCAAGCACTTCCAGAATGGGGTTGGGCTCAACTGCTGTGCTTCATAAGGGACCTTGGCCCCTTGAAAGGAGTCATTCCTAATGGGATGTGTTTTGATTTTTAGTTTGTGTTTAAGATCACTACAATCAAACAGCAGGACCACTTCTTCCAAGCAGCCTTCCTGGAGGAGAGAGATGCCTGGGTTCGGGACATCAAGAAGGCCATTAAATGCATCGAAGGAGGCCAGAAGTTTGCGAGGAAATCCACCAGGAGGTCCATTCGACTGCCAGAAACCGTTGACTTAGGGTGATTTTCTGTGTTTGCTTCTTTCCACCCCTTCTTCCCCGGTCCCCTCCCCGCCTTTGAAGAAACCTCACAACAGATCCTGCTCCAAGTCTTGCTTTGGTCCCCTCTGAAGGCTGTACCCACTATTCCAGGTCAATACTGGCTCTTGGTGATGTTTACCTGGGTCTGAAAGAGTAATCATGGCCTCTCCAAGGCCTGACAGCTGAGGACAGGAGGCTAATGCAGTGTATATTCCCTCATTTTGGGTAACCTCGGCAGAGACAGAGACAGAGAGACAGAAAGAGACAGAGAGATAGAAAACGAGAGAACTTACTGCATTTATGAAGTAGCCATAGTAAGTTAGTCTTGAAAGAAGGCTTGAAGATCTCTAGATAGGTAGGAAAAGGCAGGGGCTATGTGTGTAAGTAGGTAAGGTTTCAAGTTCAAGTTCACACTTTCACACAGTCAGCAAGGGCCAGCTAAGGTGGAAGCCGTTTGTGCCCTGACCTGGTTTAATGGCCTTTGATGTTGGCTGGCTTGGAACTGCAGATGACAGTTGTGGCCTAAATGTTGTTAGAGGCTCACAGGTAAATTCAGCCTCTGATAGGGGTTGGGAACAGGGTTCCTTCCTTCCTGCATGTTTTACATCTTCTCCCATCACATGAGCCCCTTTCTCTAGGAGTCTCTTTGCTTCTTGCTAATTTTGCTTTTATGTCGAGCATTCCCTGAAACAGGAGCCCTGTCAGGAAGAAATCCACGTTGGCTGCTTAAAATGTCCAACAAGGATTCTATTTACAAAATTAGCGGCCGGGGGGGGGGGGGGGGTGGAGTTCCTTAACAGGGACTGAAGAGACCCCTTCTGCAAGCCTACCACAGGACTTGGCATGTCACAGGAGTTTGATAAAGTTTATGCCTTGAGCTTGGTGAGAATGAGCACCTTCTCTCACCAAGGAAGCTTTTTGGTAAAGACCCAAGAGGAGGTGCCTAGTCTGGCTACAGCTGCTGAATGGGGTCGTCAAGAGACCACATTTCTGGCCACAGCTGTCAGAGCTAAATGAGAACGATACTTGTGCGTTGGGGAGCCACAGGATACATGAGAGTGGCCTTCTGTTTTGTTGCTTGCCATTTCTGTGATAAGGCTATCTTTAGTTTATTTCTTCCAGGAAAAAAATAAGAATTTCCTAGTATTTTGCCTTATCTCTTATGATTTTTAGAATACGAGATAAACTTAGTCAAAACATTCACTTTCTTGGAGGCAAATGTCTACACCAGATGGTCTCTTGAAGGACTTAAAGAACTGGGACATGAGGATTGAGGGACCTTAAAGATCTAGAACGTGTGTGGAAAATTTGCCCCAAGAACCTTTAATCTTCGGCACCTAACTGGGGGCAACTCTCTATCTCAGGCACTAAATCGACAAAGAGCTTAAGGAATTTAAGAGACGTTAAGTACCTTCCTAGAACATTTTGCTGAATGCTGTGCAGGCCAGAGAGTTATGCAAATATAAACTCTGCCCTTTAACTACTTATGATCTAATGGACAGATTAGGCTCAGGGGCCGCCTGGGGAGGGGGGAAGCTTGTGCTCACGGCCAGCCTCTCCAAGGTGGCCACTTCCAGAGAGGACTCGTCATTCTGAAATGCTTCCCACTCATCCGTCTGTTTTCATCTCCATGCAGTGCCTTGTATTTGTCCATGAAAGACACTGAAAAAGGAGTAAAAGAACTGAACCTAGAGAAGGACAAGAAGATTTTTAACCACTGTTTCACAGGTAAAAGGCCTTGCCAGTCTGAAACGGGGCAGCTGGGGTAGGCAATATGGAGTTCTTGCTCAGCCTTATGTGTGGGGTGGGGGATGTGGAGCACGGCGAGCGGATGGGGTCATAGAATGCAGACTGGTGAACATGAGAATTAAACTTCCCCAGCGTGGAAACAGAAGGAAGGGTAGAAAAGAACTTTGTTGTTCAAGAGAAAGTTTTGGAAGTTCCAGCTGTGTCAATCAAAGGGTCATTTTTTTTTTTCAATAAATGGAGTTATGTTGAAATAGACACAGAGTTGAATAAGATGATAAATAGGCATCTAGATATGCAATGTAAGATTTAAGTGACAACGTTAGGGATGTCTGAGGCTTTACAGCTAAAGTGTTATGAGTTTAGGTAGATGCCACAGTGGTTAAAAAAATGTTCTTTGGAGCAAAACTGGTTTGGTTCAAATCCGGGCCCTGGAACTTACTAGCTGGAAAACCTTAAGCCAATAACTTGGCCTCCCTATGCTTCATTTTCCTTGAATATAAAATGGGGATAATCATAGTGCTCCTACTTTATAGGCTTGCTGTAATGTGTTTAGAACAGTGCCTGGCACACACTCAGTACTATATGGTGCAAGCTGTCAATGTGGTTATTAGGATTAAGAGGTCACATGTCTACACAGACAATCAAGTCTGTAAGTTCAGAAAAGAGAAAAAACTCAGCGGGTTGTTGGGATGAATAGAAGGTAGTGCCTAAATTTTACCCTGAAAGACAGGTAGAATTTCATTAAGTATTTGTAGGAAGGAATTCTGATGAGGAGGCTGAGCAGAGGATGCTGAAAACAAAGTTATGGGGCAGAGATATGCAGAATATGCATCCAGGAAAAGAAAATGACCAGCCTGGTAGGGGTGATAGTTCATTAGGGGGCAAAATGGGACATATAGTTTGGGACTGCGCTCGTCAGATGCCTGGCATGGCTTCCTTATGCTGACAAGAGAGGTCCAGGGTGGAAAACTCTGAGAAGATATAGCAGATGTAGAATCCAGTCTACAGATAATCCATGAAAATGGGTCAGGTCAAGGTCAGGAAGGTGAAGGGGTAGAGTGTGTGACCTGGGGTAACAGGGTAGTATATCCCATGAAAATTCAGCCTCAGAGAGTTAAGAGAGTAACCTACTAGCATCAGAAAAGTCGGGGCTGAGATTTGGGATCAAGATACCAAGCCATGGGCGGTGGTAAGTGAAACTGACAAGAGCAACTCTAGCAGGACTGAGGTCACAAGACAGAGCCTCAGGCAAAGGGAACAAGGAGGGGGTTCTGATGTAGATCTAGGCACAAGGTCCAGGCCAGACTTATTCCCTGTGTAATGTATTAGAGTCTTGGAGTATCGGACTGGAACTTAAGTTCTTCCCGTTGAAGATCATGGTGAGTTCTAGAAATTCAGGTGGGCTCGAGCCTTCTTGTGGGAGTCAAGTGGTCTCAGGGGAGAGACAAAGCTACAGCAGAGACTGGGACCTAGGCATGCTGACGTGATGGAGGACCTTGAATGTCAGGTGGCAGGGCGGCTAGACTGAACTTGTCTTTCAAGCTTCAGCATGCCTAGCTGAACAAGTATAAACGAGGGTTAGAAGACTTAAGCGAAGACCCATTGCAGGTGTAACTCAAGCCTAAGGTCATTTAAGCTCTCTGAGCCTTAATTTTCTCATCCTTAAAATGAGGTCTGCAATTACTGCCCTACCTCTTCTACAGGGTCTCTGTGAGGATTAAAAGTAGAAATGCAATATCAATTAGTTTATCCTTCTAGAGAAAGAAAAGTGGGCAAAAGCCTTTCATTTCCTATATGAAATTCACAGAAGGCTCACTAACCAACTGCTCTTACTCCTGTTGCAGGGATGGCATAGCCTACTGCTCTGGCTTCAATGACCCGGGGCTAGCTGCCTGTTATGCTAGTTCCCTTGTTGGCTACATTTGTAAAGAGTATGCTGTTTGTAATACAAAGCTTTGTTGTAGCCTACTAATAATGCAATTGATGGGTCAATTTCGTTTTATTCTCTTTGCACTCCTCTCTTGAGGCAGAAGTTTGATGAAATGGCTTCTCAAGGTCCCTGCTAGACTCTGCAAAGGTGTGACATTCAGTGCAAATGATACCATCAAATTTTAATTTAGGATACACATACCTGATCATGTTATTTCTTGCTTAAAAACTTGCAATGGCTCCTCACAAATTTCTTAAAGAGCCATCAAAGCTCTCCCCACTCACCCCAGGCCTTCCTTTCTCTCTTGTCTTCTTTTGCCTTCTTTCCACCTGCTCCTCCCCTCGTCCCCCCATGGGGCTGCTTCATGCCTGCGTGCCTCTGTTCATGCTGCCGCTCCTTCAGCCTGTACTGGTTCCTCTCAGGCCCTGCCTCATGTGCTTGGGAAACTCTACTCATGTTTTAAGCCTGGGCCCAGTGTCACTTCCTCTAAGAATCTTTTCTAACAGTGCACACACAGCCCTTCTTCTGCCACCCACCCCTTTCACACCTTCCTGCGGATTTGACCCAGTATCTCCACCATACTGACCCATAGCAGAGCACTGGTTACAACGGTTACTTTTCACCCATCTCTCCCTTTTATATTGCCTAAGGGAGCCTCCCCAGTACCCATCACCATACTTAGCACCTATTAGATGCTCAACAAATGTTTGTTCGTTAATGGAATAAAGGAGTGGGTTAGTAAAAACTATTTCTTTAATGCATGCACTGCTCCTTAAGGAGCATGTAGGTGTTTTTAAAAACAGTTTACGTGGTTCCTTTTGTTTCCAGGTATCTATCCCATGGATTTCATTTTTCCTTCCTGGAACAGGGAAGATGAGTCAAGTCAGACACTTGGGTGCTCTGGAGCTCTCCAGGGGTGACTGTCGTGGCTTGTGCTTCGGAGAGGAGAGTTAATCTTCTCTCTGATGGTCCCATCTAGGTAACTGTGTCATCGACTGGCTGGTTTCCAACAAGTCTGTTCGCAATCGCCAGGAAGGCCTCATGATTGCTTCCTCACTGCTCACTGAAGGGTACCTGCAGCCTGCTGGAGACCTGTCCAAGAATGCAGCGGATGGAATTGCTGAAAACCCTTTCCTGGACAACCCCGATGCCTTCTACTACTTTGTAAGTGAGAAAAGCTACCCATTTACTCTTCCTGTAGTGGGGGCTGCCCTGGGCAGACTCTGGGTTGATTTTGGTTCATATCCACACATGTGAAAGAAAGGGCCCAGCCCTACAGAGAGTTGTGAGATCGCTGACCTGACAGCTGTCCCCCCCTGCAGCACCTGCCACATCCAGTGAGTCAGTTTAAAGGAAAATAGTGTTTACTTGAATAATTTTCTTTGAATTGACTTTTTTTGGTGTGTGTGTGAGGAATATCAGCCCTGAGCTAACATCCATGCCAGTCCTCCTCTTTTTGCTGAGAAAGACTGGCCCTGAGCTAACATCTATTGTCAATCCTCCTTTTTTTCCCCAAAGCCCGAGTAGATAGTTGTATGTTATAGTTGCACATCCTTCTAGTTGCTGTATGTGGGACACCACCTCAGCACGGCCCAATGAGCGGTGCATTGATGCGTGCCCAGGATCTGAACCCGGTCTACCAGTAGCGGAGCGCGCACTTAACCGCTAAGCCACGGGGCCGGCCCCTGAATTGACTTTTTAAACTTTGCTGTATCTATTCTTATTCCAAGCAATAATTCATTTATAAAAACCTATTAGGCCCTAGTACATGCCAGGCACTTTCCTAGACAAGGAGATACTGCTGTGAAAAAAAAAAATAACAGGCAAAAATTGTGGCCCTCAGGGAGCTTTCCTTCTAGAGAGAGATCTGTAAAATCAAATGCGCTAGTTGTATTTTTCCAAATATACATTAAAATGCTTGACTCCATACAAAATGTGATTATCCACATCCCTTCCCCCAATCCCCTTGTCTACCTCCCGTGGTATGTTTACCACAGACTGGGAAATACTATATTATGCAACATGGACCCAATCTTGGGCCACGTGAGAAATGCAGCAACAGTGGATTTCTAGGGGAATTTTGGCAGTTTTGTTTCTATTTGGGGTCAGAGCAGAAAAGTTAGGAAGCTACTTAAGAGAACCATCCTTCTTACAAAAATGAATTGAATGTCTTAGAGGGAGTTTCATTTCACTTTGGGGGAAGTTCCCCTGTCAGTATTTTTTTTTTTTCAGACCTTTGATCTGGTAGTTTATAGCCGTTTAGTTGTGGGATTCTAAAAATACTCATCATAGTGTCTCCTCTTTCTCTGTGTGATTCATTGCCCGCTTATAGCTAACCAAGTCCCAGTTGCCTCCTGACCTCAGAGGATGAGGCTTGACACATGCTCTTGGTCTTCTCAAAGTAGAAGGGGCTGAGGTCTTAATGGAGATTGTGTTGCACAGTGTCATATAAATTAGCCAACTCTGCTTTCAAGGGTGTGGCCGTGAGGTCCCAAGAGAAGGAAGGCTTTGAAGGAAGAAATATGCTGAGCTAGACTTAGGATACAGCTTGGGAAACCCAAGAAAATGAGAGGATACTGACAAGATCGCACTTGAATGGAGGCAAGAGAGCATCTAGCAACAAGAAATAAGCATCTAGAAATAAGAAAAAGGAGGAGGGGAAGCAAGCTAACCAAGGACAACCTTTAAGGTTCAGGTTGGTTTATGAACTAGAGGAGGAAGAAGGAGCTGCTTACCCCAGTGGCTGGAGCCGGGGTGGGGGCGGGGGGGTGGAGATGGAGATGGTACAAGTAGCAATATGCCTAAGATTGGGAAAATAAACTTGCTGTTTGGTTTCCTGATAGCCAGACAGTGGGTTCTTCTGTGAAGAGAATTCCAGTGATGATGACGTGATTCTGAAGGAAGAATTCAGAGGGGTCATTATCAAACAGGGATGCTTACTGAAGCAGGTGAGTAGCCACCGCTGTTCCCTTCTAGTCTTTGCTCCTTACCAGGTCCTTTTTATTTCTAAATTACCAAATGGTGTTTCTTTTGGCCAATAGTCAACTAGAAAATGAAACCCACAGAGTGAAAGATAGACAAATAGCTAAACAGATGATTCAAGTCTATTTTGTCTGATATGAGTATTGCTACCCCAGCTTTCCTTTCATTGCCATTTGCATGGAGTATCTTTTTCCATCCTTCACTTTCAGTTTGTGAGTGTCTTTAGGTCTGAAGTGTGTCTCTTGTATGCAGCATATATATGGGTCTTGGTTTTTTATCCAATCAGCCACCCTGTGCCTTTTCATTGGAGCATTTAGTCCATTGACGTTTAAAGTAGCTATTGATAAGTATGTACTTACTGTCATTTTTTTACTCGTTTGCTTGGTGTTTTAGTAGTTCTTCTCTGTCATTGTCTTCTTCTCTTGCTCTCTTCCCTTCTGGTTTGGTGGCTTTCTTCAGTATTACGTTTGGGTTCCTTTCTCTTAGTTTTTTGTGTATTTATTGTAGGTTTCTGGTTTGTGATTACCATGAGGTTCATATATAGCAACCTACATAGACAGAAGTCTATATTAAGTTGATGGTCTCTTTAGTTTGACCTCTATCTGAAAGCTCTACTCTTTTATTCCCCTCCTCCCACATTTTATGTTTCTGATATCACATCTAACCTCTTTTTTGTGCGTTTGTGTCTGTTACCCTCTTATCATGGAAATAGATAATTTTTCCTATTTGCGGTCTTCTCTTTCCCTCTTAAATAAGTCCCTTTAGCATTTCTTGTAGGACTGGTTTCCTGGCCGTAAACTCCTTCAATTTTTGCTTGTCCTAGAAACTCTTCATCTCTCCTTCCATTCTGAATGATAACCTTGCTCGGTAGAGTATTCTTGGCTGTAAGTTTTTTCCTTTTAGCACTTTAAATGTATCGTGCCACTCTCTTCTAGCCTGCTAGAAGATAGCTGATAGCCTTATGGGGTTTCCTTTGTATGTAATTTGTTGTCTTTCTCTTGCATTTCCAATCTCTTAGCTCAGTGGTTTATAACCTTGGTTCATATCAGAATCCCCCGAGGGAGTTAAAAAAAATTTCCTCTTTAGGTGCCACAAAAACTAAACCACCCTTGTGTTCACCACTGGGAGTTAGCTAGGGTTAACCTATATAGAAAGCTTATCATGAGACAGGACACTGTGCTCCACACTTCACAGGTGGGAAGTAGCTGTGTCCAACTGGAAGTCAGTACCCTGCCCACCCCCCCACCCCCCGCCTTCTCCCCATTTCTCCCCTCCTAGAGGAAATAATTCTACTTGGGTGATGTAGCAAGTTTCAGGATGAATGATATTGGATTATATTCAATATAATCCTTTTTTATATAATTCATTCTGTTATGGCAATGAATAAAATATCTAGTTTCTCAACCACATGTGGATTCTTTGATAGGGAGGGACAATGTGTTATATGTGTTTTTCTCATATCTGCTGCAGAGTTCAGCATCCTTCTTGGTCTATAACAGGCAATAAACATTTGTAGAGTTAAATTGAATATAAGTAAATGACTTTGACAGATCAGCAACAATTCTTGGAAACCCCAGGCACACATGCATTCCTTAAAATCTCTCAGGAAATATTCATTAAATGAAAGATGGCCAGATACCCGCTTACAACCATTAAATTCTTCAATGTATCACATTGTGATGCCTGTGAGGGCTTAAAGGCAATATGGCGGTTGGCCATGGTTGGCTGATTTCACATCCTCCTGTTACCTTCCTCTTCCATTGACTCTTGAGAACTTGGTATTTACCTAGCGATTGCATAAGAGAACATGACATGTGTGTCTGCAGGTCAGGAGGAAATGGTGTGGCGTAGAAATTTTAGGTCCTCATCTTATGGGTAACACTAGCTAAGGCAAAGAGCAGGAATTCATAAAAAGAATTTTAGAAGTTAACACTTTGCAAAAGCCATTCTGGATATGATATTGCAGATAGACATATTCTCTGTTTTCCTGTATGACTTTACAGGTTTCTTGGCTCCATTCTTCAGGCAAGTAAAGGGCTCTTTGGAGATGAGCTCCTTGACCAAATGCTCAGCCAAATAATTTAGACCCGTTCTTGAAAGCTGTCTTTAAACTCCTCTGACCTGGTGTTAAGAAGGAGGCACTGTTTGCTAAAATCACATATGTTTCATTGCTTTCTATATAAGCACAATGAAAAATATTGGAAAATTTTCATATATATATGCTTGTCAATATGTGTCAATTTGTTATAAATAACAAATTATATTCTTTGTATTGGCAAGATAGAAACTATGTGTCTTCCAATCTAATATTTTTTGGCTTCTAGAGTTTAAATCATTTGAGTTTTTTGTGGGAAATCATAGAATCAGGTTTACCATGACATTAATAAAAAACTGCTATAAGTTCATTGAAATAACTGGGTAATTCAAGGCCATTACAAACAGATATGAAGGCACAGTGCTGGGCATTGGAGGACCAAAGATAAACAAGACATGAATCCTGCCCTCAAAACCCACAGTCCAGATAGTGTCAGTGTTTAATTCTACTGGGAAAGGCCAAGTCCTATTTTTCTTTTTCATGTCTGTCACAGCAACTGTTCCTTCTCATTTCATTGCTGCTACCTGATGTTAGTCCCTAATAGTTTTATGCCCAGATTGTTGCAATCACTTCTTCTTCTTCTTCTTTTTTTTTGTGAGGAAGATCAGCCCTGAGCTAAGATCCATGCTAATCCTCCTCTTTTTGCTGAGGAAGACCCGCCCTGAACTAACATCTATTGCCAATCCTCCTCCTTTCTTTTTTCCCCCTTTTTCTCCCTAAGGCCCCAGTAGATAGTTGTATGTCATAGTTGCACATCTTTCTAGTTGCTGTATGTGGGATGCCACCTCAGCATGGCAGGACAAGCGGTGCGTCGGTGCGGGCCCGGGATCCGAACCCGGGCCTCCAGCAGCAGAGCGCGCGCACTTAACCGCTAAGCCACAGGGCCGGCCCCACAATCACTTCTTAATGACCTCCTTTTTATCTTATTTTCTTTCCCCTGGCTTATGTTTAACCTTGCCTGCTGGTCCATGCTATATGTTGTCACCATATTAATCTTTCTAAAATGTGATTGTAAATTTTTCACTTCCGACTCAAAAGTCATCAGTGACAACTGCCATCTTTTATTTTTACTAAGTCTCTTTCCACTTTTCCAACCTTGCCTCTGCTGTTCCTCATGAACTCTGCCTTCTGGCCAGCCTGGCCTTATTCACCAAGGTCTGAATATGCCTTGTGCATTCCTCCTGCTGCTTTTTTCTTGTCAACTGTCTTCCCACCCACCTCCTTCTCACGCATCTAACTCCTATGTGTCCCAGGTGGATAAGTGTAGGTCTTTATGAGCTTTCTTTGACATCCCAAACCTACAATTACATATCCTTCATTTAATTCTTTTGAAACCCATTATCTATATCAATTATTGCATTTGGACATTTGATATTTCATATTTCGACATAGGTTATAAACTCTTTGACGAGCAGGACCATGTCTTAAATCTCTTCATAGCCCCTACATTACCTAATATAGTACATTGTACATGGTACTGTTTTATTTATGTAATGCTAAAGCTGAAAGACAATCTTAGAAATAATTTAATCCATAATTTAATAACATCCAAATTATTCATTGGCTCTGGTGCTATTTCTCTGACAAAGATCTAGGTTGGAGCCTGGTTCTTCTAGAGTTAGTATTTCATCTTTGTTTTCTTTTTTCAATGCAGCAAAGACTTATTAAACATAGATACTCTGTGTACAGATGCTAAGAACTCATCATTCCTTTCCTTATGTTGATTCTGGATACAGGGGCATAGGAGGAAAAACTGGAAAGTGAGGAAGTTCGTTCTGAGAGAAGACCCTGCATATCTGCACTACTATGACCCTGCTGGGGTAAGACTCCGTGGTTGATAAATCTATTCCACTAGAAGCCTCCACAGCATCTATTCATTGAGCTTCCCATTCCCCTTTCTGCTCTGTTGATTCCCTTTTCCTCTTCACTCTCCCACATTTTCTCCCACCATCCTCTACCTTTTCCTACCTCCTCTTATTGCAAAGATCTGAGATCTTAGGCTTTGAGGCCAGCATAAGCTCAGGGATGGAAGAAAATATCACTGTATTGTCATTTATTTGGTCAACTCAACATAATTTTTTTTTGTTTGCCCCAATCTGATATTTTCAGAGGAACCAGTCTAACACTTTGCTCTTGGTTTAACATGCAAAAAAGTGATAATTCCACTTCCAGACCAACCTGGATGACAGCATTAACTCCAGCCATTTAGGCTGTTGATTATTCAGAAGGGGGTTTTTTCCTCAATAAAATGAGCCACCTCTAAAGCATAAAGACAACTCCGTACGGCTTGGGTCCTCAGGCTCTGCTTGCAGTGCGGGGCTCTCTGATTCCCTCCCGTGAGGGTTATACTACTGTGTTAGCTGCATGGGGCCAAAAAGCTCTGCAAATGAGCTCTTCTCTCATGGGACGTGGTGATTCAGCCTTTCCATCTCCCCTGCCACTTCCCTCCAAATATGAAGCTCAGAGCGACGCCGAGCAGCTCCTCACCCAGCTTCCCTGGGTAAAGTGGGGGGTGGAGGATCTGGAAAGGGTTTCCTTTAATCTCCTTCTTCTCTTTTCTATTTTGGGAGCCCTGATCTATACCAGAGTGAGTCTGTGTGGCTTTTGCACCAACAAGATAAGGTATATCCATGCACTCTGCTTAGGAAAACTACTGAAGGACTCATCTCTTCTAGGGAGAAGAGCCCCTGGGAGCAATTCACTTGAGAGGCTGTGTGGTGACTTCAGTGGAGAGCAACCCAGATGGTAAGAATGAATTTTTGTTTGAGAGAGGTGTGGCTACTCAGGCTCCCTTCCCACACCTGGACATCCTGGGCCAACAGCAGTCACTCACTTACTCACTCGCTCACTCAATCAGGCATAAGCATGAAGGAATTTCTGTCTGAAGACCTGGGAGACACCAAGAACTGTTCTCTCCCAACTGCTGCCCTGGCTCTCCCCTGGGTCTTGGGGAGTTGGAGTGGCTTTGTGGAGGCCTTGAGTAAATCCTTGAGCAATGCTGAGAAAGATCCTTCACTTCAGAACTAGTTTAGATGGAGAGACCTGGTACCTCCTGACACCTGTGATTGAGCCACGACATTCCTTAAAGAGGGCCTTTTACATATGCAGACCAGGAAATCTCCCACAACAAAAGGAACATTGGTGCAGTGAGGCAGTGTGGTGAGTGGAAAGTGCACGTGGGTTACGGTGAGGTCTGTGCCAGTTGGTTAGCGGCATGACCTTGGGTGAGTCGCCTAACTGATGTGGGTCTAGTTCCTCCTCAGAGGATGAAGGGGTCACCAGATGACCTCTGGATCCCGGATCACAAGTCTGTGATTTGGTGCGTGGAATACCCACGTTGGCGTAGACTGACTCCTCAGGTGCGGGATGAGTGGTCTCACTGGGGAGATGTGGTTTAGACTCCAACCCTGGTTTCACTCCTCATTGTGGGTTTATGATGTTTTAGAGGCTGACAGGAAAACACTACAGCTGCAAAGCCTAGATTTTTACTGCCCCTGCATCTGCTCACTCCCGTCTCTCCATAGAATTATGCTTTACTTTTGGGGTAGGGAGCATGTTTCTTTTTGATTTGAGGTGGGTATTTTAAGTCTTGTCGCAGTCTTGGCCAGTTTACTGCCTTTCCATCTTTCAGCAGAGACTCTAACTTAGCGGTTGATAAAAACAAGTTCAGGCTATCCTGGCGGTACCAGCGATGGGTCTCATTTTTTTTTTTTTTTAACATATTAGGGTCAGCCCTTGGTTTATATTATTAGCAGAGGAAAGGTACTCACTAAACACTATTAGAGGTTACTCATTAAATGCTATTGGTGTGCAAAAGTGAGAAATTTAGTTTGCTTGTAAACTATAAAAGAAAATGTGTCTCCTTGAGTGTTTTGCTTATTTCTTCAACACACATACACACATGATCATACAATGCACCTATCTATATAAAGACTATATATATAATTATACAATGAATATATACGATCATACAATGATGGCAAGTTTGAAAACCACATATTTCATTTTCTTAGAACACTGAAAAAACAGAGATTTCATTCCTTACAGAAGGAGGGTGAACTAGGTAGCCTTTCAGGTGCCCGTGTGCACTGTCATTCACTCGCTCTTTCACCAGGCAAGAAGAGTGAAGAAGAGAACCTCTTTGAGATCATCACAGCTGATGAAGTTCATTATTTCTTGCAAGCGGCCACCCCCAAGGAGCGCACTGACTGGATCAAAGCCATCCAGGTGGCCTCCCGGACTGGGAAGTGAGGACACATCTGCAGCTCCTCATCACCCTCCCGAGGGAACTCCATGGATAAGCTTAGTCCAGGACCTGTCCGCTTCCAGTGACAAGTCAACGAGAAAGGGCCCAGGGGTGGGAATTTTCACCTGCAGGGGTTCTGAATGTAACTAACCACACACCATGTGATGTTCACCTGCACCCACCACGTCGCTCGCTTAAGCCTCTCTGCCACTCTCCGTGTCCCTCAAGCAGATATAACAAGCTGTGTGGCCTGGGTATGCTGCTTAATCTCTCCAGGCCTCAGGTTCCCCTTCTGGAAAGCAAAAGAGTTGAATTAGGAGATCCCTGAGGTCCTCCCTAGCTTAAAAACCAAAAGCCCTGTGATTCTAATACCCATGGAAGTGTCTCCAGTTGTCCAGCTGATGTCCCTCCTTGGCAAAGTCTTGGCCTTCAAAACCTGAGACAACTCTCCTCTTTAAAACTGTTCCCAATCTGTACTAAGAGTACTAGGCATAAACCTCTTCTGGTCTCTTTCGCCACCTTCCCTTATTCTTGGCCACAAGATCATGTAGCAAAATGAAGGCGAACTCTCTTCTTCCTTCCTCACTCTACCCAGAAGATTCCTGAGAGCCAGCGCTGCAGTGGTGGCTTCTGTCGCTTACTCCAGCCTGGAAAGTTATGTCTTCTGAGAAAAAGACCTGAAGAACCCAGGAGTAGCCAAGGGTCTTTTCTGTGTGTTGGAGTCACCCAGCATAGTCGTATTCCACTTCCACTCGAGGCTGACCTGAGAAGAGTCTATCTTTGTGCCTTTCTGGAGTATTTCTTTACCATTTTTTATAATTAGAAGGAGGAACTCCAAATCTTCAAGATTCTGTTTCGTTTGCGTGTTTGCAGAAAAAAGTGGGCAGATGGGTTCCCACCATGGGTTTTCTCCATGGGTGAGGGGCCTGGGCACCTGCCTGGCTCATGTGTCCCCCGCTGCTCCAGAGGGTGCGGGGGCTGGACCGCAGGCCGGCAGATTGAATGATGGGTTTATACAAAGACAGCACTGAAAGGGCTTAAGTCTAGACAGAGCTCGTGGAGGCGGCCGTGAACGTTGTGAGCACCTGCAGTTGTCCAGCGAATGATATTGTGCTTGTGTCTGAGCGTTAAGCACAAGCTGTAGTGGCTCCGGCTTGGCCTCCGAGGGGCCTCATGAACCCATCAGCCAGCGTGATCTGACCTAGATTCAAATCGGGTACCTGTTTCCAGTTTTTGACCCTATCCACTAGTGATTTAGTGATTCTAAACCAAACTTGAATATGTGTGGAGTATTTTCCAACTTCAGATTTTTAATTTTAAGCCCCCAGTGAGGAAAAGAGAGTAGGAAATTCTTCCTGACTTTATCAGCTCCTCTCTTTCCCTCCCCTAATTCTACACAATATCCATGAGGTTATTCCTACTCCTAGATGGTTTTATCAAGGGCCTAGAGGTAAAAGACTATCTTTTCTCTGATTCTTTAATAAACTGTCTTCTTAGAACATGCACAGTAGTTTTTCTACGTTCAATGTGAAAAGTATTTATTAATGTGGAGTCAAATTTATGTTTTGAAATAAACATGACCATGTTTAGTGACTTTTTGGTGTGATGACTCTGAGGTTTTCCCTCCCATTAATGACTCTCCTTTTCTATAACCCACTTGCACTTACTGAGAATAATACCATCTCTCATCTCTCAAGTCATCCCAATGACTTCATGATTTTCTTTTTAACAAAGTCAGGCAGGGAATAATAAAAATATAGGGGAAATAAAGATAAGGATCTTCCTATTCCCTAAGCCTATACCACTAATTTTTAATTTATGAGACTTTGATTATAGTGTTCAGGCAAGCAAAAGAGTCCATAAATGGCCATTAACTATTAAGGATACAGAAAACTATTTACATTAGGGGAAAATAAGTTTCCTACTGAAAGGCTGCTAGGTATGGTTGAGCAGGATGTGCACTGCTCAACTCCAGGGGGCATTTTTCACATTGTCGTCTAGGTGACTGTCACTCCTTGAGATTTGCATTACACGGTCTGCACATTTGTCCACAGTGGTCTGCAGAGAATTCAAAACATCATTATGGCTTTTTAACGGGGACAATTGATTCTTGCTGGTGTAATGAAGATGTCACTTGCCAAAGTAGATATTCAGAGTATAGGCATAGATGTTATGTCTGAACCTCTTTGGCTTAGAAATCATCCTCAGGCCCTTTCAGGCATAGTAATAGGCAAATCCACATAGGTCTGAGCCCAGAGTGACAGACATGTTCCTCAGTGACATGGATGAAGGAATGTCAATCCCATCTGAAGAACATTCAGAGCCCGAAGGAAAGACTGCTTGGCGTTTACTGAGGATTCTAACGTAGAGTGGGGGAAAAATAAATTGTAAGATAATCAGTTGTGGAAGAATTAAGAAAGTACATAAAAGGAGGAAAATGTCTTCTTGAATCATGTGACTGACAGCAAGTCAGAAAAATAAAGCATTCAGTCTGAAAAATCTAACACCTTTTTGAGAAGAAAATAGAAGGATGCATTGTAAGGTGAGAATCTTACCTGCGAGTAGAGAATACAGTACCGATTTAAGTAAAGATGTGGTGTCTCTTGTAGACCACACACACACACACACACACACACACACACACAGTGGCTAAAATTCTACCGGCAGGGGATGGCTTTCAAAAAGCAGAATGAGGAACTTGCTTAGATTAAATTAACCAACAGTTTCTCAGTGCTTGTTGGTAGACATTAAAGGAAGCTAAACAGAGCATCAGCATCGTTTCCTTTGGATTTTGTGTGAAGCTTGCTGTGGACAAAGCCCTCCCTGCCGCCACCCCATGTCAGCCTTAAGGTAAAAAGAAAACCACAGAAGGAATTCTTTAAGATTTCAGGCTCCATTTTTGTGTTCTGCTCTGAACAAGGAGTTTCAAAACTGCGTAGGGTGGATTAGGAGATGTGGGAGAGGAAAGAGTGGGGGAAAGAAGAAAGTTAGGAGAAAGTTAATTTAACTTGCTTGAAAAAATAAACTTAGCTTGAAATGATAGCCCTCAGTGATTTTGGCTCAGATTCAGGGCAGAGGGAAGGTAAAATTTAGACACCACTAGACTTCTCTAGGATGGAAGGAGAAACGAGGATGGGAGGGGAGTGTGCGTGATACCACATTTGCTCCTTGACTTTTTGAGCTGTGTTAAGTTTCAAGAGGAAAATGCACGTGGGTGTTTATAGGGAGGTCGTGTGACGCAGTGGGAAATGCAGTGGTCTTGGAGCCTGGGACCTGGGTTTGAATGCCCAGTCAGTGACTTCCTGCATTTGTGACGTGTCTGAATATTGGCTTTTTCAGCCCTGCAATGAGAATAATAATCTCCCCTCATAAGGTTCTTGTTAGGACTTATTGAAATAACACCTGTAAGTCACTGGGCACGTGTGGAAACTCAACAAACTCTAGTTTCCTTTCTTCTGACCCCTCTGCAGCAGGGCTACAGTTTGCACTCCTGCTTTTTGTTTTTTTAAATAGATGGGAAATATTTTTACCAACATTAAAGTTAAAAATACCAACAAACCACTTGACTCCCCACGGCCTGCAGTTTAGACATTGAAGCAACAGCCTAGCAGTTAAGGCCCTTCACCAACCAGCCCCTCTTCCCCAGCTGATTTCTCCTGTGCCTGCCTTCCAGTGCACACACACTGCCCTCTCACTGGTCCCCGGGAGGACTGTCAGGCTTCTGTAGCCTCCTCTCGCTCACACATCCCAAGGCCTAGAATCCTCTCTCGTTCCTGTCTCTTTGGCTCTCTCGTTCTTACTTCTCCTTCAAGTTTCAGCCTAATGCCTTAGCTCCCCCCCCTCTCCTTGTACTTCCCTCCACTTCCACGGCAGATCCTATGCCTCTGAATTTCTCCACCGTTTATGTGCACCAGGCAGTTAGCAACAGTCGCATACCGTGTCCGTTGAAGTTGTCAACCATGCTTCCTGTTTGAGGGTCAGGGTCTAAAAGTGTCTGTGTTTTACAATTTTTTCAATCCCTCCTAACATCTAGTTCAGTGCTTGTGTGTAGTAGGCGCTTCTTAAATAGCCGTTGGTTGGGTGATGTGAATGAAGTAATTACCAGCCGCAGTCAGGAGGTTCCTTCTACGCTGATGTGAGCTTAGGGAGATCACTGCAGCTGTAAGAGCATACACTTTCAGTTTGCTGCCACCATTCTAAGTAGCTTGCAGATACGATCTCAGTTAACTTTCATACCAATCCTATGAGATGCATACCACATTATTTCCATTTTATGGATGAGGAAATTGTGGCACAGGGAGGTGAAGTGACTTGTCCAAGGCCACCCAGCTAGGAATCGTCAGAGTCGGGGTTCTAGCCTAGTCTGGCTGGCCCCAGAGTTCATGTTCTTAACTCCCACTTAAAATTTCATAATCAGGGATGGAGTTTAATTAGTGCTGACTATAAGTGCCAGGAATTTTGCTACATACCACACAAGTTTTTCACTTAATTAGTACAACAATCATCTGAGGCAGCTTCGTTCCCATTTTGCAGATGAAGAAAGTGAAGTTAATCATATTGCCCAAGAGCCCTGAGCCAGTAGTCCAAGGAAATGCAAACCCCGGTCTGCCTGGCTTCTGAATTCATGTGCTTACATGCTCTGCTCTGTCGTGCATAAATTTGGTTCTTACCACCTTTCGGCTAGCTATCTTGTTGCCATGGGAACACTCTGCTTCCAGCCTTCACCACTCCCACCCTATCAGCTGCAGCAACATTTCCTAATAGGCCACATCCAGCCAGGACACTGGGCTCTAGGCTTTACTTTATTTAAAGGGAAACCTCTATGGTCAGATACAGCTACGCAAATAGCTCTGCCCTGCTGATATTGGTTTTGAGGCTACTGAGGATTTTATTCACTAACATTCTATGTTGCAAAACACCGTCCTGAGCTGATTAGCATGTGTGTCTATTTTTACATATACTTGTGCGCTTGTATACGTACTTAAAACTTTTCTCTACTGATGTCACTGGGTGTCTACAGAGAAAAAAATTGCTGTGCAATCAAAAGTCGTGTTTTGTCAATAATAAGAAAACAAACAACATAATAAAGTGGGAGGCACTTTACTGAACAAGATGTATGGATGGCAAATAATCACACAAAAAGATGCTCAACAGCATTAGCCACCAGGGAAATGCAAATTAAAACTACAATGAGATACCGGTGCATGCTTATTTGTTGTTAGTGTCATCTACTCGATTCCAACTCCTGGCAACCCTGTGGACAGCAGAGTGGAGCCCCGCGCATCTTTTTGCACCATCCTCTCACCTGCCAGCGCTATATCAGGCAATGCTCCACTGCTATTCATAGGGTTTTCATGGCCAGTTCTTTTGAAAGTGAGTGGCCAGGTCCTTCTTCCTAGACTGTCTTAGTCTGGAAGCTCCACTGAAACCTGTCCACCACGGGTGACCCTGCTGGTATTTGAAATCCTGGTGGCATAGCTTTCAGCATCACAGCAACATGCAACTGCCACAGTGTGACAACCGACAGATGAGTGGTGGGGTTCCCTGACCAGGAAATGAACCCAGGCTCAGGCAGTGAGACTACCAAATGTTAACCACTGGACAATCAGGGCTGGCTCCATGCCTATTAGAATTGTCCAAAATTAGAAAGACTGACCACTCAGAGTTGGCCAGGGCGTGGAGGAAATGAAACTCTCCTACGCTGCTGGTGGGAAAGTAAAAAATAGTTACAACCACTTTAGAGAAGTTTGACAGTTTCTAAAAAAGTTAAACACACACCAGCCATTGCACTGCTGGATATATTCCCAAGAGAAATGAAAGCATATGTCTATACAAAACTTGTACGTGAATGTTCATAGTAGCTTTATCTGTAATAGTCAAAAACTGGACACAACCCAAACATCCAACAAAAAGTTAATAGAGAAACAAGTTGTGCATATTCATACGATGGAATATTACTCAGAAATAAAAAGGAATGAACTATTGATACATGCCACATGGATGCATCTCAAAATAAGTATGCTGAGTGAAAAAAGCCAGACAAAAAAGAATGCATACGGTACTGACATAAAATTCTAGAAAATTCAAACTAATCTACAGTGACAGAAAACAGAGCAGTGGTTGTCTGGGGATGGGGAGGAGGGCAAAGAGGAATGGAGGGGGTAGGAATTTCAAAGGGAAAAGGACATTTTTGAGAGTGATGGATATGTCTATTTATCTTGATTGTGGTGATGGTTTCCCAGGTACATACATATTTCAAAACTTATTATTGTGTGTCAGTTACATCTCAATAAAGTCATGCTTCACACATAAGAGGCTTTTTTTTGGGCTTTGGCAGACCCAAGTGGAATGTAGTGTGAGTCATGACTTTCTTAGCTGAGACCCCTTGCTCCTTGTTTGGTCTAATAGTAATTCAGAAGGAGAATGGCAAATCCAATATAACTGTGTGGGTTTTTCTTTTACTGTCAGCGTCTTGACACACAAGGAAGATAACTTTCTGGTTGTCTTGTCTTTGGGTGAGTAAATGAGGTCAATGTAAGGCTAGAAGATTCTCTGCCCAAGTTTGGTCATTTGTTTCCTGACACGGTGAGTGACCTGGTTGGATAAACAGTCCTCTCTTTCTGTTGTGCCCCTCTTCCTGTTTCCTGCTGGCCTTTCAAAGTCGTGAGGTGCTGGGATCTCTGCAGCAGACAGTGACTCCATTTGAGGAGGTTCTGAACCAAGATCTTTCTATTTTAATACTAGATTTGAATTTGTTCATATTTTCTTTGAGAACATGTGCAGAGTGTTTTCTCTTGAGCTGATAGTGTTTCAATAGGGAAACAAATCACATGAAGATTCTAGAGATGGTAGTGGATAACGTTTACCTTGCTGTATAAGGAATTTGGTATAAAGAGTAGCTTCAGCACTGTTTTCTGACTCTATTTGAAAAATCTTTGGTGGACAGTTATGGATGGAATTGGCTGGATCAGAGTCTCTCTGGTTTCATTTAAGGCTTGGCGGTAGACAATTAGCAGACTCTGACACAGCCATTAACCAGCTGTGTGATCTTGGGTAAGTCTCTTGCTCTCTGGGCCTCTCTGTGATGTGTTCACATTAACATTTTACAAGCTCATTCTGACCACAGTGTGGAGGGTGTTTGGAGCTGGGCATCACTGGGAGAATAGTGGCAGTCAAGCCTATTGTGGTAATCCAGATAAGAGATGACAAAATCACAGCAGTAAAGGTGACGCAGGGGAGAGGCCAGTTCAGTCAACAGTGGAACACATATTTATGGAGAGTCCACCATACGCCTACAATAAGAGATAGCTAAGCCTTGCTCTCCGCCCTTGAAGAGCTTCTCAGCTGATGATTTCAACATCCTGTGATTGCTGTGTGCTGGGATGGGCAGATAAGGAAGGGGAAATGAGCTGTTCAGAGAAGGCTTCCTAGAGGTGGTGATAACTGAGTGAAGCCTTGAAGAATGGATGGGATTTACCAGGCAAAGAGGGTAGGAGACAGATTTGAAAGATACTTAGGAGGAAGAATCAACAAGAGAGGAAGGAGTCTAAGGTGATTTCCAGTTTATGACTTAGCGACCTAGAAGATGGTCATTTCATTGATGAGTGTAAGAAATACAAAA